AAATACCCTGCATCTTGTTATCACCATGTATCTTCTTTTTACCATTACAGTTAAATGCACTACGCTTATTTTTTGCATTATTGGATCAGGAGTTCTTTTCAATATTGGGCTGTAAATATAGAGAAAAAGGTTTTGTAAACTTTTGTACAAAAAATGTAATATTTTGGTAGGAATACTAAAATCATATTCTTTGGGTTATATTTATACACATGTGGAATAAAAATGTACTGTCCAAACTTTGTATTTTATACTGCAAAGGAGATTTAAAAAAAATTCCTTTCGTATTTGAACATACAATGTATGGGGCAAGGGGAATTGTATGATACGATTAAATTTTTCCATCCTGAGATTTATGCAGCAGCTTATATAAGAGGAGACAGGAAGATAATTTTGAATAAAATAATTGAGGACCCTCAATTGATGGCTTTGTCCTAAAATCTCAAACTTGGTTTCATATAATTGGTTACGTCATGTTAACTAAGGATATTGGCTGCTAAATTCCATCTCCAGGTTGAAGACAGCTTTTTAGAAGAAATAAAAGCTCTCTTAAATCTAAGAAAGTCCTCGTTCCAAATGTATTTTGCACCTCTCTGGCTAATCACATGAACAGCGTTCTGAAAATTATCTTGCGTTAGACAACAGCGTTCCAAGCCATAGCCATGTTCAGTTCTGGCAAATAGCATCAATTCTTTTCTCTCTTTTTTTTTTCACCAGAATTTTACACTCTTCTACTCGATCAATAAAGTTTACTTTATCAGATGCATGGAAAACAGAAATATTCCAGAACAAATGTGTTTGATGTTAAGGAGCTATCAATCCCCATTATTAGATTATTATAGCAACATAAGGATGCGTTGGCTCAATGGCTAAGACGCTGAGCTTGTCGATCAAAAAGGTTGGCAGTTCGGCGGTTTGAAACCCTAGCACCACATAACGGAGTGAGCTCTTGTTACTTGTTCCACCTAGAAGTTTGAAAGCATGTAAAAATGCAAGTAGAAAAATAGGGACCACTTTGGGGGGAAGGTAACAGTATTCCATCCGCCTTCAGCGTTTAGTCATGCTGGCCACATGATCACGGAGATGTCTTCGGACAGCGTTGGCTCTTCAGCTTTGTCACGGAGATGAGCACCGCCTCTTAGAGCCGGAAACGACTAACACGTATGTGCGAGGGGAATCTTTACCTTTACCTTATTGATTTATTGATTTGATTTCTAACACAATCCATCTCAGAAAATGACTCTGCAATTAATAATTGAACAATTTAATTTTTTTCAGCTGCAAGAATGGTTACAAGTCTGCAGTTTCTCATTCTTATAAAGACATTTTCCAAACTTAGCAATCAGAAGCAAAAAGCATATACAATCATGCTACTGAAATGTATGCAAAGCTTACTGTTCCTTTCTTTCACCTCTCTTTTTCCTTATTTGCTTACAAGCTTGATTGATTGCCAACAGACTTTTATGGCAGGGGCCCCCAACCTGCAATCCGCTACCAGTCCATGGCCCATTGAAAACCAGGCCACATAAGTGGCTGCCAAGCACATGAAGGTTTGTTTGCACATGAGTAAAATTAGGTTGCATACACACAATCATCCTCTTCTTTCCAATGCTGCCACTACCGCTGGTCCACAGACCCCAAAAGGTTAGGGACCAGTGTTGTACTGTTGGAAGAAAAATCCACCTGGGTTCAATTCCAAGTGGGGAAGAAAGACACTGGAAACATGGTGACTGCTTGGAAAGATGGTTTAATGGTGGACAGGATCACATGCCTTGGAGCTCTTGGGCAAAGAAAAGGGGAGAAATGCTGAGAGTCCCTGGGTTTTATAACCTCTCTGGCTTTGAACTTCCTGCGGCACAGGAAGCGTATCCTGATTGGTTGCTCTCAAGGTCATAGGTAGTTGTGTCCTAAGGTTTGTTGAAACTTCCTGGGTGATGCAAAGAAGGGCCATGAAATGTTTCTGCCTGAAGGAGATAGATCTTTGCTTTGTAGAATAGACTGGCCCAGTCCTTAATGGCCCATCAACAAAGCGGGGAGGGGGGCTGAATTTCTGCCTCTCTGAGTTTCTACTTCTCTTTTAGAGCAAATATTCTGCCTTTTTAATATATCCTAAAATATTTCATTTTTCTAAGAGAGGGGTGGGTTTTAACTTCCAACAATACAGTACACATTTTGAAATTCCTTGGTAATGTCATTCCGTAAGAGAATTATCCTTTCCCCCAAACATCCTTAGCAAGCACAAAACACTTTATAAGAGTGGTAGCTAACCTTTTGGGGCTCCTGTACCAAAAATTGTGTGCACACTTGCACTCATGCACCAGCACCCAGAAGGCAATGTGCGCCTGTCCCCATGCCCCCTACACATTTGCACGTAATCCCCACCCACCCCGCTGCCCCCTTACCTGCACTGCACCTCACCGCTGATTTTCGGCTGGTTTTAGGCCTTTTTCGGCCTCCCAAAGGCTTGAGGAAAGCTTCTGCAGGCTTCTGAAGCCTTTGCAGGCCAAAAACTAGCCCCGTTTCGTCACTTCTGGTATTTTCCGAAAAACAGGAAGTGATGAAATGGGGCTAGTTTTCAGCCTGCAAAGCCTGCAGAAGCCTTTCTCAAGCCTTTGGGAGACTGAAAAAGGCCTCAAACCGACTGAAAATCCATTGTGAGGTGCATGCATGCCCAGTGAGGTAAGTTTGCCTGCAGCTTGCATGCCGGCACAAATGGCTCTGTGTGCCACCTGTGGCACACATGCCATAGGTTCGCCATCATGGCTTTATAATCTCTAAGCCTTGTCTGCTTAAAAAAAAAGCAGAATCTGGAGAAGATTCTGTGCATTCATACAAGATTTGGCCAATTTGAAAACTTTATTTATATATATATATGTATGTATGTATCTTTGGTTATTTGGGTTTTCTCTCGCGTAAGATTGGAAGTATCTAGGCAACGTTTCGATGAAGTCTTATTCATCATCTTCAGGCTTGTGTCTTCGGCTCTGTGCTTCTCAGAGTGAACTCTCAGAGTGAACTCTCAGAGTGAATTCTCAGAGTGAACTCTGAGAAGCACAGAGCCAAAGACACAAGCCTGAAGATGATGAGTGAGACTTCATCGAAACGTTGCCTAGATACTTCCAATCTTACGTGGGAGAAAACCCGAATAACCAAAGATACACATACAAATACCCGCGAGAACCTCAGAAAATGTGTGTGTGTGTGTGTGTGTGTGTAGTTTTTTAAATTAATTTATAATATGACATATGAAGAGAATACAAAAGTAAATATTAGGGAAATTAGGGAAGGAAAAAGGGAAGTAGATAGTGGGGGAAAGCAAGAGGGGAAAATAGACATAGACTTCCAACTCCTTTGGTGCAGTATAATTAAAGCATTAACATCTACCCTCAACATTTTACTTCATAATAATAGAAACTGGCCATTTCTACAACAACAAATATATCTAATCGGTAAAACTGAAAATCAAAATTTCATTTTTTTCCACCTTAAACACAAAGTCCAGAAGTGTTTTCCAAGTAGAAGTAAAGGTATTCATGTGTGTTTTTTCTTTAATCAAAACAGTGCCAATTTGAAAAGTTGATGTGCGGTACTGCTTAGAGAAAAACCAAACTATGAATGAGAAAATTCTACCATGTCTCATCAGCACTTTGGGTAATACTCCTTGACTTACAACCATTTGTGTAGTGACTGAACTTCCAGCAGCACTGAAATAAGTGAATTATGATCATTCTTTCCACAAATAAATAAAATTTGCCATTATTTTTTCAGATTGATGTAGATAGATTTGATGGATGGATGGATAGATGATAGAT